ATGGCCAGTAGCAGGGCCGTCCTTAGCCATACACAAACTGTGCAGCTGCGTAGGGCACCAGGAAATTTGGGGCACCAAATTAGGTCAATCCCCCGGCCTGCTGAGCCAGCCAGGAAAGCTGCCCCTGCTCCGCCCCTTTCCCAAAGCCCCCGCCCTGGCTCCGCCCCCACCCCGCCTTTTCCCCAAAGCCCCTGCCCCACCCCCACTCCACCCCTTCCCCTGAGCTACATCCCAGGGGACTGCAGCAGGGGTCAGGCGTGCCCTGCACTCACAGGGCAGCAGGGAAGTGGAGTGAGCCAGCCCCAACCCGCTCCGCTCCACTGACTCATGCTGGGGGGTGATTTCCCCCTTGCCCTCCAAGCCTCCTCCTGCACCCCCACAGAGGCCTGGAACCAGCCCCCCTGTGGAGGCCTGGGGACGCCCCCCTCCTCCTCCTGCGGAGGTCTGGGGCCAGCCCTCCCCACAGGGGGGCTATGTAGGGCACAAAAATGTCTAGGGATGGCCCTGGCCCGCAGGATGGGACTTTGAGATCTCTTGTTTAAAGGCAGCTATCACTGGTTTAATTAAACCTGTTCCAAACCGAGTTAAAAACAAACAAAACAGAAGTCCCTGGAAAAACCTCAGTCCCTGGAAAAATCATGGAGCACGTCCTCAAGGAATCAATTTTGAAGCACTTCAAGGAGAGGAAAGTGATCAGGAACAGTCAGCATGGATTCACCAAGGTCAAGTCATGCCTGACTAACCTAATTGCTTTCTATGACGAGATAACTGGCTCTATGGATGAGAGGAAAGCAGTGGACGTGTTTTTCCTTGACTTTAGCAAAGCTTTTGATGCAGTCTCCCACAGTATTCTTGCCAGCAAGTTAAAGAAGTATGGGCTGGATGAATGGACTATAAGGTGGATAGAAAGCTGGCTAGATCATCGGGCTCAACGGATAGTGATCAATGGCTCCACGTCTAGTTGGCAGCTGGTATCAAGTGGAGTGCCCCAAGGGTCGATCCTGGGGCTGGTTTTGTTCAATATCTTCATTAATGATCTGGAGGATGGCGTGGATTGCACCCTCAGCAAGTTTGCAGATGACACTAAATTGGGAGCAGTGGTAAATACGCTGGAGGGTAGGAATAAGATACAGAGGGACCTAGACAAATTGGAGGATTGGGCCAAAAGAAATCTGATGAGGTTCAAAAGGACAAGTGCAGAGTCCTGCACTTAGGATGGAAGAATCCCATGCACCGCTACAGACTAGGGACTGAGTGGCTAGGCAGCAATTCTGCAGAAAAGGACCTAGGGGTTACAGTGGATGAGAAGCTGGATATGAGTCAACAGTGTGCCCTTGATGCCAAGAAGGCTGACAGCATTTGGAGATGTATAAGTAGGAGCGTTGCTGGCAGATCGAGGGACGTAATCATTCCCCTCTATTCGGCATTGGTGAGGCCTCATCTGGAGTACTGTGTCCAGTTTTGGGCCCCACACTACAAGAAGGATGTGGATAAATTGGAGAGAGTCCAGCAGAGGGCAACAAAAATGATTAGCGGGCTGGAGCACATGACCTCTGAGGAGAGGCTGAGGGAACTGGGGTTATTTAGTCTGCAGAAGAGAAGAATGAGGCAGGATTTGATAGGTGCTTTCAACTACTTGAAAGGGGGTTCCAAAGAAGATGGATCTAGGCTGTTCTCAGTGGTAGCCGATGACAGAACGGGGAGTAATGGTCTCAAGTTGCAGTGGGGGAGATTTAGGTTGGTGTAGTGAGGGTGAGACTCACCGGCACAGCACCTCCTGCTGGTCATCTGGGAATTAGCTCTTTTCCAGTTTACAGAGTGCCCTCTGCAGGCTGATGTCTCACTTGCCACTGTGTCCCTCCCAGACCCCAGTGCCCCTTTACCTTGGGGTGCTGCCCCAGCAGTACCCCTGCAGTCTGGGTATCCCATCCCAGGGAATCTCCAGTGCTCTATCCCCACGTTGCCTCAGTGGTGACTGCCAGTCATCAACTAGCCCCCACTCACTGGGGCAGACTGCAGACTGTAATGGCCACTCATCATTGGCAAGGGGTTAGGACCTGCTGCCTCTGCCTAATCCCAGGCTTGCACCTCTGTAGCCCCAGTACCTTTTGTAGGCCTGCAACAAGGCCTCAGCCTGGAGAGTTGCCAGGCTGGAGCTCCTCAGCCATTCCCCAGCACTGCTCCACCTCAGATATCTTACTTCCAGGCAGCTAGCCCTTCCCACTCCAGGGCTAGAGTGAGACTCCTCCAACTTCTGGCCCACAGCCCTCTTATAAGGGCCAGCTGGGCCCTGATTGGGGCGTGGCCCCAGCTGTGGCTGCTTCCGCCAATCAGCCTAGCTGTTCTCAGCCACAGCCCTCTCCAGGGCTGCTTTTACTATTGGCTCCCCAGGGAAGCCCTCTCCCGGGGCTGTTTTAACCCCTTCAGGGCCGGAGCGGGGTGACTACCCCGCTACAGTTGGATATTAGGAAAAACTTTTTCACTTAGGAGGGTGGTGAAGTACTGGAATGGGTTACCTAGGGAGGTGGTGGAATCTCCTTCCTTAGAGGTTTTTAAGGTCAGGCTTGACAAAGCCCTGGCTGGGATGATTTAATTGGGGATCGGTCCTGCTTTGAGCAGGGGGTTGGACTAGATGACCTCCTGAGGTCCCTTCCAACCCTGATATTCTATGATATTCTATATTCTAAAAGGCCTTTCTTATGGAAAAATCAGTTCCATATTTGTTTAACTAGATGGTTTTAAACTTACACCTTGTGTGAAATCACTGCTGCTTCACAAGGCCCATGTTTAGCAACTTAGTCCCTAAAACCTGAAGCAGCCCATGGTGCCACAGCCCAGGTCTACCCGAGGAGTTTGTTCCCAGAGTACACTGTCGTCAGATGTTGAGAGATACTTGGCTGTGTGTGTGTTCTTTCAGCTCTGCGCAGGTAGCAGAGACAGCAGACTTTGATTGAACCACCCAATAAATCTACAGACTCGGTTTTCAGCAAAGGTACTTGGTCAGGTTTATTGCTGACGAGACATGGTGCTAATGCACTAACACATGTATGCCCGTGAAAATGGACCAGCTCAGTGAATGGCGGGACTTTCCATTCTCCCCTTGGCCAGACAAAGACACGCCTTCTGAGATACATCTTTATACACAGAGACAAACAAGTTACACTTTACTCAGTATGTACCACGGTGCCACCCTCTGACGTATTAGGGTGCCACCCATTGACGTATCGAGGAGATACCCATTAGCTTGTACATGTTGGTTGGATCAAAAAATTGCTATCCATCATGCTGTCATCTTGACCTTTTCCTTAAGATGGCTCAGTGTGTTCCTGTTCTCTTTGGGGAACGTGTTTGCTATTGAGGTGTTCTGGTGCCACCTTTCTGGAATGTGCTTGCATATATTTGTGCCTAATACTACTTAGGAATGTGTGTTTCTGCAATATCAGCCCTATTCTTGCCAGATTCTGTCTGCTTCCAAGCAGGCAAAACCCGACTTTGCTTCTTCGCTTTATTTCAAAAAAACTACTTTAGTTCAGGCCTCAGGCCTCACACCAGGCCTCTGATACAAGGGCTTATGTTTCAGGCCCTCTTTGTACTACATACACTATACCGGCAAAGTGTTCCTGGTGGCTTATACTGGCAAAGTGACTTTGTACCACCTTATTTCACCCACACTGAGCAAATCAAGTTTTACGGGGAATGGTTGCATCTTTGCCAGTATAACCGTGTCTACACTAGGTTTGTCTTGCTTTCTAACATTGTCAGGCTTCTGAGAGTATCTTCCTTATGAGTGTGCTACAGACTTCAGGAAACAGAGCAGGACCAGGGATATAAAGTTTAAACCAGAGCTCTCGTTATGACATGACAAGATGGCTCCTACAAACTTTCAGCATACAGCCCGTGCATGTATCTGCTTCATGTGAGAGACCCCTGAAAATGGGAGGCCTTCTGATGATTAAACAACTAATTTTAAAGAGACTATAAATACAATATACTGCTGCATCACCCTTTCTTCATTCTTTAAACTTGTCCCAATAAATAACTGAACTTCTCAAACAAACAGGCCTGAGGCATGCGTAGAGAATTACAGCACTGATTGCTGTTAAATCTTCACCTGCGTGGATCTGAGATTGTTAACACTTAACCTGCTGGCACTTAATTTTTACCACTAGCTCAATCTGCTTCTGCATGTCATCTCTGTAGACAATTGTCATACGAGTCCTGGTCGCAAATGTGTGTGTGTGTGAGAGAGAGAGTGGGGGCCGGGGAGAGGCAACAGGCCATATATGCTCTTCTCCCTTACTCTGTACTAAGGCTGTGCAGTAACTGCTCACCTGCTACTGCAGCTTGGTACTTAAGGTTTCTAATCCTCAGCCCCTCAAACATTCCATAGAGTCATAGATGTTAAAGCCAGAAAGCACTTTTATGATCATCTAATCTGATCCTCTGTATGACACAGGCCAGAGAATTTCACCCAGTGATTCCTACATCCAGCCCAGTAACTTATGGGTGAGCTAGAGCAATTATTTATTAATTAATTTATTTTTAAGGAAGAGACTTACAATTCTGATTGAAGGACTACAGGAGATGGAGAATCCACCATGTCCTTTGTTCCAGTGATTAAGTACACACATTGTGAAAAATTTGCACCATATTTTGTCTGGCTTCAACTGCCTGCCACTGGAATTGTTATTTCCTGGAGCTCACAGCCAGTTTAGTTGGGCTGCTCTTTCTGTTCAATGATACGGCCTATCATTTTATCCTGGAGCTGAAATATGCTATTCACATTGAGATAGGCTTCCAGCTTTAGGACTCAGGCAATAATGAAACACTTCTCACAGCCAGAGCCCAGCAGTGACACAGCGAAAGGCTCTTGCCCTTCTGCAGGAGGGACAATGATCCACTTTTCCCTTCTCCTGAAGAATTAAATGCTTACCTTCCAGGCTGAAGAGATGCATAATGCTTGTGTAGGGTTCACACAGGTTCACTCCATTTCCCTCCAGGTCTGGGTTCTACGCCTCGCATCTCTATTGACAGCTACCAGAGCGGAGGGATCCACATGGTGTGTGAGTCTGCTGGATGGTACCCGGAGCCCCAGGTGCAGTGGAGAGACCTCAGTGGGAAGCACTTACCATCCCTGACAGAAAAAATAACTCAACATGATAACGGCCTGTTTGAAGCACAAATTTCCATTATTGCAACAGAAACTTCCATTCAGGATCTGTCCTGCTCTGTCAGGAACTCCCACCTCAACCCATGGAAAGAGTCTGTGGTCTACATTGCAGGTTGGTGTTCATCAAAGCCACACAGTTCAGCCACTCACCAAAAAGGGGGTATGTTTAGGGCTAATTTAAATATTGGATTTACAACGTGCATGTGAATAGCGCTGCTCAGAGGCTATTCATTAAACACCATGTGTGGTGAATTTAGGGGAGGTTAGACTTCATGAACCGGCCTTCCAAGCTGCAGATGAAGTATAATGAAACATGGCTAATTTTGGGGGGAGGAGTGTTTAATAGTGTGTCTTATTATTGTTAACACAGTTAACATGCCTGGAGTTGAATTGGCATTCACAATGGAGAGGGAGGCTTGGAAAATTTCTGTAGTGTAGAAAAGGCCCCTTTGTGCAGCCAGAATGGGCTCTCACAAACTGGAGCTGGGAGGGAAATGGTTTCCTGTCCCATGAAGATTTTCTAGTTTTCAAAACAAATTCCTTTTCCCCATGGGGACAAAACTGACACTTTTCAAAAGTTTTCATTAAAAACAAGAGAGAGAAGAGTCACAATAGTCTGCTAGGTCAAATCCCTGCTCCAAATCAGCAGGAATTTGACCCTGGATATCCTCTGTGAGTGTCCTAGCCACTAGGCGAGTGGATATTCAGGGGTTTCACTCCTTCTGTGGTTTTGACCAGAAATCCCATCCTGGACCCAAGAACCCTTTCCTGTAAAAATATTTGGTTATGATGAAGTGGCATTTTCTGACAAAAAAAACAAAACAATTTAGTTGAAAAATTCCTGACCACCTCTGCTTCCAACCAGTGGCACAATGCCATGATCACCACAAAGGTCGCACACATCTGTTCTGTCAGTGTTTCCAAGTTAATGAGGATGAGGTTTTGTCTTACAGATCCATTCTTCCTGAGAGGCTACCCCTGGAAGGTTGGTGTGTACATACTCTTGGTTGTTTTGGGTTTTCTCACTTTCACAGCAAGCTACTTCTTCTGGAAGCAACACAAGGCAAAAGGTAAAGTTATAAGGGGGCACTACAGTGTACTCAGAGATTTGCTTTAAAATATAAATGAGATGAGAGTGGAGGTGGCTTCTCCACAGTTAAAGATGCAGCTACATTTTTATGTGAAGCCACATTTTGCACCCTCTCTAAATTTCTCAAGAAAAGTCAGATTACCCTAAACTGGGAGTTCAGGACAGGCCCTCGGGTGGAATTTGTGAGGGAAATCTGAAGTCTTCCATTACTTTTTTGCCCATATCTTGGGAAATAAATGAATAAAAAAAGGAGCCACATGAAACATATCACTGGATTCCCATAGGTAGTGTCTAACAGATGAAACCAAATACCAAAACCAATGTCCATGATTTACAATATGAAATGATGAGCCCTTCCCTTTGGAAAAACAGAGTGCTAATAGAGCACCTGCGCAGCACAGTAGAGAGATGCTCACCTGTCAAAATGCCCTTAGCCTAAGAACACTGCAGTGGGCTTGGAAATGAGAGTTCTGGGCTTACATATGCCTCTGATTGGTTTTGTGCACTTCAGAACCCTTAGCAGAGAGCACAGCCAGGTATTGTATAGCAGCAAGGTTAAAGCAGCCCAACTTTTAGGTGGAGACAAGCCCTTGGTGACGTGCCCTCACTCACACAGAGAGTCTGTGGTAGAGCCAGGAATTGAGCTGTGGTGCGAGTCCCAGGCTAGGGTTCAAACCCCTGCCTCTCAGGGCCCTGTCTACGAAGGTGGCCGCCCCCTTCCTTTAGCTTATCAAGATCTAAGGCAGAGGACCAATGATTAGCTAAATAGAGACCACTTTAAAAATAACACCTGCAATTATTATTTCCCTTCCTGCAGCGTGGCATTATTGACAGTCACCACCCAAACCTTGCTCTGAATATGGAGCTATTCATTTCCTCATTGGCTTTCCCATGATGTTCATCACTGCAGTGTCTGAGACTCACAAGTTGCCTGCTAGCTCTGGTAGTGTCAGTCCCATTTCCTCTCTTGTAGCCTGTTTTTTTTATCCTGCACAGGGGTGAAGCAATGGTGCCCAATCCTATGGGGCTGCAGATTCACTATCTCCTTTCCAGCAATTCTGTATTTTTCTGTACTCCCAAGTTCAGCGTGGATAGCCATTCTCAGGGGCTGGCTCCCAGTCAGGCACAGGAGGCTGTTCTCCACAGGAGTATTGAAATGGGCTGTGACTGAAGCCTGGGTAGCTGAGGAGATTTGGTTAGTTTCATGCTGTTGGGCCTAGCTCAGAACCAGTCCAATCCAGCCAAGCTGATCTTTATTCCCCAAGTCAGTTGAGGAGGCTGCACAAATATGTTACAGGGTTTGGGTTCCAGTTGAACAGGAGAACTTTAACCACAGGCGGGAGGATCGCTACGACAGGCAAGCGCAGGCCCCTGTGAGACACAATACAAGGGGGTCAGTGGGAGTGGTTCTAGTGGAAGTCTGTTGATACAGTTCATTACCAGCCAACCAGTGGTTTGTAGACCGTGCAGCATTTGTACTGGACTCTCCCCCTTTCTAACAAGTCTCTCCTCTTCTCTCATAGCGGCGCATGTTGCAGAGAAAGGTAAGGCTCTTCTATGGGAACTGCAGTGGGGGGGCATCTCGAGGTTTGGAACAAGTTGCTGGTGCCTTCTGTTAGGGGTTCTGATGAACGAATGGTCAGCTCGGTGGTTATTATATGCAAAGCAGAGTTGCTGCCCGCCCTGCTCCTACCCTGCAAGTCTCTGCAGTGCACCCCAGAGATCCCCAAGGATGGCAGGAGTTTGCCCCACATGGACAGGCATAGGGTGGAGGCAAGTGTACGTTACAGTGACCCTTCACTCTGTCACTCACTGGGATGTCAATGAGGTGAAGGTGTTTTTCACATCCTCCTAAGTTTATAACATAACCTTTATGTAGATGGTGGCTGGGGCAGAGTGGCTGGGAAAAGGTCAGTATCAGAAGCAGAACTGTGAATTTCCAGCCTTTCTGACATCTTAAACTTGTGTTTTGGTAAATTTCTTCACTAGAACATTATTTTATGGTTTGTTTTAACCACAGCCTCAAGTTCTTAAAGTTAACAGCATTTTCCATTTGGGATAATTGTCTTTCCATTGACTTTTATGGGACTGAGGTAGGCCCTGAGCCCGAACTCTTACGGAATTATTTATGTGATGTGCTATTGAGAAACCTACAATACATTCTGTTCTTGTTTTTAGGGAAACTCGTTGATGACCTTGGTAAGTGTCATAACCCTCTCCCTGTTATAAACCTTGTTCCACAGGGGGATGCAACTTCCCTGATCCACATACCCACCTGACCTGACATTACACATCCCCCAACTCCCTCTGTCTTCCTTGCCCAAGTCTCCCTCTGCCCTTCAACTTTCAGATGGTCTCCGCCAGCTGCCTGACTCTGCCTCTACACTCTCACTCGTGAGTCGCATCCTGGCCCATGACTCTTACTTGCCTTTCCACATTGCCATGACCCCCACAATCATTTCCCACCACCTCACCAACATTGACCCTTGCCAACTCCATGCACACCCACGTCCCTACACTTACACAAAACAAGGATATTCCAACACAAAACCATTTGTTTCCAGTTAAGCTTGAGCATTTCTATATAAATTCCAAAGCTGAGATCATAACATTCTGGCACTAACACAGAATGAGATCAGGGTCACGTTGAAGGATCACATTTAGTATCAGAGACAAGTATGCTGGAGAACCAGTGCCAAGATTTCAGTTCTCTACTCACAAGCTTTACTCCTATATTGACTTCTTGCTAGAGTTCAATTTGTTTGGGTGACTAAGTATGGTTTTCAGTAGTTTTATTTTTTAGTATTTTTAAAAGTGGAACCATAAGTTTTAATTTCCACAATTATAAAAGTTTGAGAGTTTAAAATACTTTCTTTTTTGACTTTTTTTGGGGGGGTGGGAAGGCTGGTGGCACATCTGCTCAGCATGGAGTTCAGGCTTAAAAAGAGTTTGGGGAAGTTTTGTGTTTGTTGTAATGTTCTTTGAAATGTGCCCTACAGAATGGTATGCAAGATATAAGGAAGGGCATATTTGCACTTTTTGACAAATTAGAGAAAAACAAGCTCATAGGGTGATGCTCTCATCATAATTTTGAAAGAACGCATCAAAATTCATCTACTTACAAAGACATAAAATAAAGCAACAACTAAATCTACATTAAGATATTCTAGCTTCTGATTGATTGTATTCTGGCCTCCAGAGTGAGGTCTATCCATGTCACACTGTCAGTCAATCTCTTTAATAATCACAGCGCAGCTACATTAAATTACAGTCTGAATTATCCTCAGGTACCTGACAGCATGAGATTGCATATTTTTCCCTTTTTTTTCTTTAAATCAGAAATGGAGAGCGAGAGAGGTAAACGTTTCGGGCCAGTGACAATGTGTTAGCAATTGTATGTAAATGTCTCCAAAGGAGGGGCGAAAATGAGAGTTTGTCTCTTTTTCTCTGGATGATGTGGTTAATGGGATGAGGGATCATGGAAGATCTCTTCTACTGATGCAACAACCTCATGATCCTGCCTAGCTATAGCAGCAGACCCCACTGCACGGCTGCAGCTGCTGCAAACCCAGCTCTGTCAGCAGCAGGAACAGTTCATGGGCTGGCAGATAGAGGTGCAATTGGCTGAGCAAGAAAGGACTCACCAGCGGAGAGAAGGTCTCCTGTGGCAGTTCACAGATCTGTCCTGGATGGAAATTTAAAGACCACCGGGGGGGTGTCTCTTGGGTGTTTGAGGCCCAAACTGGCCTGGAAGATGACGTGGAGGATTTTCTAAACACAGCCAGCAAGGCTGCCAACCTCATTGGGAGGAGAGGGGCTGGGCCATCTTGGTGATGCCCTTCTCCACGGTTGAAGCCCAGTCATACCCCTCCCTGACTCTGTCAGCAAAGGCACCATGAATGGTCTGGGCTGAACCTTTTCCTCTTGGAGTCTGTCGACAGACTACTAGTAGCCCAGTGATTCCTAGACATAGCTATTTCCTGAGTTAAACCTTGAGTTTAGGACAATGAAAGAGATTATGGACACACAGTCCTGCAACAATTAGGGCTGGTCAAAGAATTTGTAACTGAAGAGTTTTCCAACAAAAGATGAAGTTTCATTTAAATGTTTTGATGAAATTTTCAATAGGAAAAAGATGAAATGTGACGTCAAACAACGTCAAAATGTTTTGTTTTGACATCATCGTTTTAATTCATTTTGTTTTGACTTTTATATTATATTAAAATATTATTTTTAAATTATATTGTATTTATATAATACGTATAGTATTATGTCTGTGCTCCACATTTAATATTTTAATGTAATATACAGGTATAAATGAAATAACTGAACACAAGCAACTTGAAATCAAACATTTTAACACTATGAAACAAAAGGTGTCTGTACTGTTGAACCAAAATACTTTGATGCTCCTAATAAGAACATAAGAACAGCCTATACTGTGTCAGACCAATGATCCAGACCAAGCCCCATATCCTGTCTTTCAACTGTGGCTAGTTCCAGATGCTTCCGAGGAAGTGAAGAGAACAGGGCAATATATTGAGTGATACAGCCCCTGTCATCCGGTCCCAGCTTCTAGCAGTCAGAGATTAAGGGACACCCAAAGCATGGGGTTGTGTGCCTGACCATCTTGGCGAATAGACATTGATGGACCTGTCCTCCATGAACTTATCTAAACCAAAATGGAACCAGAGTGCTGGCACTTAAAATTAAAAAGGTTGTTGAGCAGTTTTTAAACTAAGGGCTGGGGGGAAGCTGACAGGTGCGGAGGAGCACGTCCTTTGGACAGCGACATCCCTTAGGGGAGAATCTTTTAATGGAGATTCTTTATGTCCTAGTAAGGAGGAGAGGATGGAAGATGATAAAATACAGGTAGGATCTGATGAGAAACAGTCAAATGAAAAAAAGTCCCGTTCAATTACATCATGTAATGGGAGACAGCTAAAAAGTGACAAGTTTTTCAAGTACTTATATACCAGTGCTAGCTGTCTAAATAATAAGATGGGTGAACTAGAGTGCCTCATATTAAATGAGTATATTGATATAATAGGCATCACAGAAGCTTGGTGGAATGAAGATAATGAATGGGACACTGTAATACCAGGGTACAAAATATATCGGAAGGACAGAGCAGTCATGCTGGTGAGGGAATGGCACTATATGTGAAAGAAAGGATACTTCAAGTCTGCAGTACCATCTACAACATTCTTTCGCCTCCTGTTCTTGTGCTACAGATAACCCAGTGTTTACTCCTTTTTCCAGTACACCCCCATGGGGGACACCACTATTTACCTCTCTCCATTCTGAAAACTGACCATTTATTCCTATCCTTTGTTTCCTATCTTTTAACCAGTTACCAATCCATGAGAGGACCTTCCCTCTTATCCCATGACTGCTTACTTTGATTAAGAGGCTTTGGTGAGGGACCTTGTCAAAGGCTTTCTGAAAATCTAAATACACTTATCTACTGGATCCTCCTTGTCTACATGCTTGTTGACCCCCCCAAAGAATTCTAGTAGATTGGTGAGGCATGATTTCCCTTTACAAAAACCATGTTGACTCTTCCCCAACAAATTATGTTCATCTGTGTGTCTGACAATTTTGTTCTTTACTACAGCTTCAACCAGTTTGCCCTATACTGAAGTCAGACTTACCAGCCCGCAATTGCTGGGGTCACCTCTGGAGGCCTTTTCAAAAATTGGCATCACATTAGCTATCCTCCAGTCATTTGGACACCAGTTCAACAGCCTGAACCCACCCCTGGATACTCTGGCCAACCTCCAGAGGGAAGTCCTGGACTTTCTTCTGGCTGGGGAAGCACTAGGTCTCTGAAAGTATTGTGAGCCTCCCTCTGGAAGAGGGAGGGCACAGCATAGGTTGCATTCACAACAAAGTCCATGCTTTCCACTTGAGGCCCTGTAGAATCTCCTTTATACTGAGCATAGTCTGACATGGAGCACACCTTCCTCAGCCACCTGATATGACTGGCTGCTGTTTTATCTCCATCCAAGAGGTCTCCCTCAAGATCTCTCAAGGTTGCTGGTCTTTCACAAGAACCTCCTCAGGACCTGGAAGTTGATCTCTGCAGCCAGGTCCATTGTAGTCACCGAGTGTGTAGGCCTCCTTGCTGAACCCCAGTTCATGGACATGTTGCTGATGTGGTTTTCAGACTCCCCTGATGTTTTTTATTGTGGTGAGATGGAGGCCCTGGCACATGCATACCTACAGTGCATCAGGTTGCAGTCCCTTTTCTGCCTCCTCCAGAACCTCTTGTTGAGGTTCTGGTTGCACTTTTCCCTGTACCTTTTTATTTATGCATTTCCTATCCTTGGCTCCATGAAGTTGTGGAACCTCCTCAACCTCCTGTTGGCCATATATTAATCAGGGAGGAGGGGTTAGATGGAGGAGTTCCCTGCGACTAAGACTGTGGGACTCAATTTTGTGCACTTGTCAATTCACATCTCTCGGCAGAGTTCCTCTGCACGGTATCAGCTAGCTTCCTGGACTCTTTTGAGGAGCAGTGTGCACTTTCCAATGTTCTCTGCTCCATGTCTTCCCTCTGGAACCCTGATTGTAAACCTGTGACCCGCACTTCCATTCCTGTTTTTTCAGTTGTTGTTCCCCAGAATCAATTGATCCATGTTTTTTTTTTCTGGTCCTGGAGGCCCTTTTGGTTTACATGGGGATTGAATAGGCCTGTGTATGGAATGAGACAAGGGTTCTGTGAAAAAACTACTATGTGATCATTTCATTAAAGACTGTATGAGTATGCAAAAGGGGCCTGAATTAAAGTTGTACAAGGAAACTTAATTCTGGCATTTTCTAATTTTGAGTGCTTGACCTGGCAACCTAAATAACATTATTTCAACATAAAAAGAAAAGGAGTACTTGTGGCACCTTAGAGACTAACCAATTTATTTGAGCATAAGCTTTCGTGAGCTACAGATCACTTCATTATATCAACATAGTTTGTCAATAGGTTCATAGGTTTTTAGTTTTAAAAAAATCTGTAATTAAGATGTCTTCAGCTCACATCATTAAATTTTGCATCCCAGCCCTTTAATATTGTAGTATGTCCCGCTACCATTTGAGCTAAAGGACTACTTACATTAGATGACAGCAGGTGTAAGCTGCTATTCCACCCATGGAATAGCTATTGGACCAGTCCTATACATCCTCCTGATCTATATATCTATATAGATATAGAGATATACTTCTATAGTTTGTTTTGAAAATATTAACCTTCCCTTAAAGTTAACTAAGTTTTCAGTTTCAGTAGCTAGGTAAATGTGTATTCATCGAACAAGAGCTCTTTTGTAATTTGTTATGTATTAATTTATTTTTATTTGTTTTTTTAGTAAAGCTCCAGTTTGAGCTTGGTAAGTTCCTTTTATCTTTAGTATAAACTCTGCAAGAAATGTTATCATACTCAGAATTTTCTGTAGTATCTGGCTGATGAATCTTGCCCATATGCTCAGGGTTTAGCTGATCGCCATATTTGAGGTTGGGAAGAAATTTTCCTCCAGGGCAGATTGGAAGAGGCCCTGGAGGTTTTTCGCCTCCCTCTGTAGCATGGGCACAGGTCACTTGCTGGAGGATTCTCTGCTCCTTGAAGTCTTTAAACTACGATTTGAGGACTTCAATAGCACAGATATAGGTGTGAGGTTTTTTTTTTTTTTTGTAGGAGTGGTGGGTGAAATTCTGTGGCCTGCGTTGTGCAGGAGGTCAGACTAGATGATCATAATGGTCCCTTCTGACCTAAATATCTATGAATCTGTCTGTGTTCAGTAGAGTTCTCATCTCTATTCCTCCAGTGAAACAGCTATTGGAGGAGTTCTACGCATCCTCTTATCTATCTGTCTGTCTGTCTGTCTGTCTCTATACTAGACTATACAGTTTGTTTTGATAATATTAACCTTAACTTAAAGTTAACTAAGTTTTCGGTTTCAGTTTCTAAGTAAAGGAATTCTTTATGAGCAAAACCATTATCAAAATACGGACTTACTTGAACAAGAGCTTCTTTGTAATTTATTAGATATTAATTTCTTTTTATTTGTTTTTTAGACGAGCTCAAGACTGATCTTTGTAAGTTCCTTTTATCTTTAGTCTAAACTCTGTAAAAATTGTTGTCATACTCAGACTATCTGTGTTCAGGGGAGTTCTCATCTCTATGCTTGTGCTTGTTTTCAGGTTGGAGAAAAACTCAAGTATATCGAGGTAAATAAAGCTGATGTTTTACCAATGTCAAAATCTGACCTGACCCCAATAGTTCTCTGCTTCCCCCTCTTTTACAGTGAATGAGTCTCACGTGAAAAGTAAAGGATTAAAAATAGTAATTTCAGTGGGGATGGGAAGAGACAGATGGTTCCCTAGGTTTTTTATAGACTAGGGATGTGCCCCTTTACTAAAGCGGTGAGTAGTGAGGGGATATTTTCCCCTAGGCATTATGGACCTAATTCTCCACTGAATTTAGCCATGCATTTTCGGGTTAGTCCTTGTTTTATGCCAAATATTGACCCTGTATTGACATTATCTAATCATTAAGTTGCTGAATATTCTCTTCCTAGTAGCAAGATATCTATAACTATAGTTATGGTCCTACCAAATTCATGCCCATGAAAAACACACCACAGACTGTGAAATCTCGTCTTCCCCTGTGAAAACTGGTCTTTTGTGTGCTTTTACCCTATACTCTACAGATTTCATGGTGGAGACCAGTGTTTCTCAAATTGGGGGTCCTGACCGAAAAGGGAGTTGCAGAGGGGTTACAAGATTATTTTAGGGGGATTGCGGTATTGCCACCCTTACTTCTCCTGTGCCTTCAGATCTGGGTGGCCAGAGAGTGGCAACTGCTAACTGAGGGCCCAGCTCTGCAGACAGCAGCGCAGAAGTAAGAGTGGCAATACCATACCATGCCATCTGCCCCCAAGCAGAACTGAGGTACTAAGTGTTTTGACTAAGTCACTTAAGCATTTTGAAACCTCCTGGGATCTTAACTTCATTCTCTGGGCCTAGTAGATTTTTGAGTTTGCCGACCTGGTAACTGGAACCAAAATAACTCAGTCAGTTTGATATCACATCCTTAGTTATTTTGATGCAAATCTGTGTGTGTATGCCCATGAAGAATGCCAGAGCTGTTACAACCATAGCTGCAATATTTTGTGAAGCTTCATGTGTGAAATGTCTACAAATTATTTCTTGTGCTAATTTGCGTATTTACAAATAATGTGCACCTGGCCAATACAATCTTCCCCAAAAAATGGCAGCGGTAGGCAGCTCTGGAATGGTGCCAGAACACTCCAGAGTGGCATTCAAGCCCTTTTTTTTGAATGAGGTTTTAGTGCCACAGAAACCCCATTCTTCCCCCAAAGCCGGGCAGGGATCCCTTTACTTCTGCGCAGGCCAAAGGGTCCTGGCAGGAGTGTAGTGATATGCCCACTCCTCGTTTGCTGCCCGTGAGCAAATGCCAGGACCAGTGTCAGCAGAGTACCAAAGCAGAAGAGACAGCAAGGGAGGAGAGAGGCAGAGGCAGCTAAGTCACAGGACCTCCTCTTCAGCCTCCTCCTGGTGCTGGCCAAGACAGCATCCATCACGCCAGGAGGCGGAAGCTGGACGGGGGTGGTGCTCTGTGACTGTGTAGCCTATTTACTCTCCCTTGTCTGATCACACCTCTGGCCAGTGTCCACTGACTTCTGAGAGGCCTGTGGCGGGTGGGGGCTGGGGGGTGCGGGCAGGGGTTCTCTGCTTGGTGTCCCCCTCCAGATCCCTCATATTTTAGCTCACTCCTGCTCCTGGTTTCTCCTTTGTTGTCCCAGGTACTCAACTGTGGCCTGGGCTTAGTGGTTCCTCTCCGTTAGTTGAGTGGATGGGCCTTAGTCCTGGGTGGGCCTAGACCCGGCCATCCCAGACCTGCAAACAGCACAGCAGCAGATCCAGGTACCTGGGCGGAGGGAGCTGCAGTTAATCCTTGGCCAGCTCTAGTAGTGTCAGCTCCTGGCAGCAAGACAGAAAATTAGGGGCTGTCCTGGCCAGAGCAGGGCTGCTAAGTCCTCCCCCAGAGCTGAGCTCTGCCTCTGATGCTCTGATTCTCTCTTCCAGAAGTGAAGGTGACTCTGGATCCATCCACAGCTAATCCTGGGCTGAAGCTGTCTAAGGACCTGAAGACTGTGACATGGCAATCCAAACCTCAGGTTCTGTGTGAGAATCTCAAGAGATTTGACCAAGTTTCCTGTGTGCTGGGCTCTGAGGGATTCACTTCAGGGAGAATTTACTGGGAAGTGGAGGAGATGGGGAGAATCTGGGTCATAGGGGTCGCCAGAGAGTCTGTGAGGAGGAAAGAACAAATCAAATTTACCCCCGAGGAGGGGATCTGGGGGCTAGAACAGACCAGGGATCACTACTCACTTCTCACCGCCCCTGAGAGCCCCCTGCCACTGAGTGAGCCACCCAAGAAGGTACGGATCTATGTAAACTATGAAACTGAGCAAGTGACATTTTTCAACCCAGATAATGGTGATCTGATTGCCAGACTTACAGCTTCTTTCACTGGGGAGAAAATATTCCCCTTCTTCTGGGTCTATTCCCACCTCACACTAGCCACCTGAGACATTTGGAGATCAGGTGGGTAGGTGTGTGTGTGTGAGCGGCGGGGGTTGGGGGGGGTTGGTTTCTAGTGCTACTTTTCATAGAATCTTAGATCTGGAAGGGACCTTGAGAGATCTAGTAGCAACTTAGCTACTTACTTTGTTGTGTCTGTTATTCCTTGAAACCACTTAAATCCTACTTTTTATACTTAATAAAATCACTTTTGTTTATCAATAAACCCAGAGTAAGTGATTAATACCTGGGGGAGCAAAGAGCTGTGCATATCTCTCTATCAGTGACATAGAGGGTGAACAATTTACAAATTTACCTGTATCAGCTTTATACAGAGTAAAACGGATTTATTTGGGGTTTGGATCCCATTGGGAACTGGGTGTCTGGGTGCTGGAGAAGTAACCCGCTGAGCTGTTTTTGGTTAAAGTCTGCAGCTTTGGATGGTGGCCCAGACCCTGAGTCTGGGTTGCAGCAGGCTAGCATGTCTGGCTCAACAAGTCAGGGTTCTGGAGTCCCAGGCTGGCAGGGAAAACGGGCTCAGAGGTAATTGCAGCACCTCAGGTGACAGTCCCAAGGGGATCTCTGTGACTAAACCTGTCACAGGGGCCACTCACATGTTCCTGAAATACCATACATTCTGGCACTTCCAGGAATGGCATGAGCCTGCCCCTGCCTGTGCGACCTCATACGCATGGTGCATGTAAGGTCAAGCTACCTGGGGGATGTCATTTGGAAGAGTGCACTACCCTGCACTTGCCAGTGTGACCTTGCATGCCAGCGGGGGCAGAGTGGCATGCTCTTTAAAATGAGGTCCTCTGTTGTGTATCGGACCAAAAAAGGGGACAATCCAGTATAAAAGTGGATATGTGGCCTCCTTCAGAGATGTCGAGGGGTTTGCAATCCAGCTTGCTCCCAGATGCCTTCCACTTAGCCCTCTGACATTATATAAGCACCTCGAAGGCACAGCACAACTACAATGCCAATTACACAATTCCCAGCCTTCTGCAGTCTCGGATGCAAATGGCAAACTCAAAGAGCAGATGCTGCACAGTCAAATATCCCGATCTAGCCTTCCTCATGCACACAGCACTTACCATCTCTGAAGAATCTCCAGGAGGGTAAGTCTGAAATGCATGTAAAAATGATACCACCCTCTTGGGAATAAGAACAATAACAACTTGTCAGTTTTTTCCTAGTCCCTGAGTCACAGCAAGCTCAGTGGCCACACTCTCAAGGACAGGCCTCTATCAGTGCTGACTGGCTGTCTAGCCTGAGTGTGAAAAAAAAGTTGAAATGTTTGTGGACCTCATTGCAGAGTTCCCTACCCGCCTACCACGAATACCTGAAAACAGTGGAGAAGTGGAGGTGGAATTTGGAGACCGACAGGGAAACAGACAGGGATCTTTCCAGGGAGATCGTTACAGTGGCCAAAGACAAGGTGGCAATTGCCAGGGACAGTGTCGCCATGGCCAAAGACAACATGGAAAAATATAGGGAGAGGCACAGGCAGCTCCTGGAGGCAATTCAAAGCCAAAGTGCCCTGTTGCAGCACATGCTGCTGGTAGGACCCAATGAGCATGTCTCTGCACCTCAGCCTCCCACCCACTGCTAATATTTTCTCCCTTACTCTCCCCAATATTCGGCAAAATACCAAATGCCACTATAATCTTCGACGTACTTTTTTCTCCTGCCTCCAACCTATTCTGCAAACAGCACCATCTTCCTTTAAAACGGACAGACACACACTCCACTGTCACTCTGCAATTACTGAGGCAACAGTTAAACAGTTCTTTCCTTTTGTCCATGTGGCCTGTGAATGGCCTCATGAGCCAGGGAAGCCGGGAATAAGATGGGTCTCCCAGGATAACTGGAGCAATCTTCAAACCTTTAACGTCCATAGTGATCCTGGGGGCAAATGTCCTTTATTCTTTAAAATGAATAGAGCTGAGTTCTGGCAGATCCTATCATCATGGACCCTTTCAGAGCACTGTGCATTTATATTTGTAAACAAGCTATGGTGTTCAAAGAGCCCTTGGAGCACCTTGGAGAAATACCCCTTTCTGTTTCTAAACTCTGAATTTGACTCTGTGGGAGAGGGGAAGCGGGGGGTGCAAATAGGAGGCAGTTTCCCCAATCCAGCTTGGGAACCACCTGCACACAAATTGTCCCTGACCTTTAAAGGACTATCCAAGCCCGTCCCATGCCTGCTCCCCTTGGGGTCTCTCTTCTGGCTGAGCACAGGTTGCCCTTATATCTCTCAGGAGGCCTGGGTCCTAGTCATATGCTGCTTCTTGTCACGTGACCCCCACAATTATTCCCTTCACCCTAGGGAGCTGCATAACCTGGGCTAGGTGCAGTTCAGCTCCAACCCCTTTCCTGGCCATGTCACCCTGGGTCAGGTTGGAACTGGAAACCTGTGGGCTAACAGTAACTGTTTGCTCTCAAAGGTGCTGAAGACACAATGGAAGAGGAAATCCTTTGGCCTGGATTTAAATCATTCCAACTGAAAGTAAATGAGAGAAAATAGGTCCAGAGTTATCTTCCTAGCAGCAGAAAATGTAGAGATTGATAGATGTTAAGGTCAGAAAGGACCATTATGTGCATCTAGTGGCACCTCCTGTATAATTCTGGCCCTAGAATGTCACCAAGTGGTTCCTTCCGCCAACCATAACATGGGACTGAGCAAGACCACGTATTTTGGAATGACATCCACGTGCATTAGAGCCAGCTGGCTAACAGAAAATCTTTCTTCTGCAGTGACGTGGGGTTAAGGGACATGGAGGAAAAGCCAAGGAGGCTGTGACCAAAGTTAGGAGGCTGTGACCAAAGCTAGAGCAGTGAGGCCAGGATAAGCGGGGCTAGGTCCCAGGACTGGCTATCAGAAGACCTGCCATTTTCTATTCCTGCTTTTGGGCTTATGAGTGAGTCTCTTCACTGCTAGGTGCCTCAGTTTCCCCAGCTATCAAATAGAGCTAATCAAGGTTTTGTTGGTTCTCCCTATGTTAGAGGGTGGGAAACCGAGACACCATTGGGACCTGTCTACACTACAGGCCTGTAGTGCATTTGTAAGCTGTTGACCCCCACATGTTTTTCAGAGCCAATGGACAACACAGGTCTTAAAGGTGTGTTTGTTCTGTGCTTCTCCCCTAAGTACCAGCAGGGCTGGACGGCCTTTTCTCACTGTGCTGTGGGGAGCAGGTCCTGGGTACTAAGGCTCTGAAGAAGCTCTCAAGGACAAATTTTTTAAAACAATTTTTATCAGTGATTTGGGAGTAAACATACAATCCCTGCTGATAAGACTGGTGGGTGACAAAATACTGGCAGAGTGGTAATTACTGATGAGGAGAGGGCAGTGATACAGAGCGATCTGGCTCATTTGGTAAACTGGACCCATTCAAAGCAAAGAAATTTGACCAGAGCCAAATGCAAGGTCCTGTAGCTAGCAACAGGGCATGCCGGTCACACCTCCAGAATGGTGAAGTGTGTCGAGGAAAGCAGTGACTCTGAAAGGGTTTTTGGGGCCATAGTGGAGAAGCCTGTCAACATGAGCTCCCAGTGTGATGCTGTGGTGAACAGGGCTAAAGCCATCATTAGACGTAGGAGCAGAGCCGTGAGCAGGATAGGGAGGTGACACAGCATCAGTAAGCCCTGGTCTACACTAGGAGTTGAGGTCGAATTTAGCAGCGTTAAATCGATTTAACCCTGCACCTGTCCACACGACGAAGCCCTTTTTTTCAACTTAAAGGGCTCTTAAAATCGATTTCCTTACTCCACTCCCGACAAGGGCATTAGCGCTGAAATCGGCCTTGCTGGGTCAAATTTGGGGTACTGTGGACACAATTAGACAGTATTGGCCTCTGTGAGGTATCCCAGAGTGCTCCATTGTGACCGTTCTGGACAGCACTCTCAACTCAGTTGCACTGGCCAGGTAGACAGGAAAAGGCCCGCGAACTTTTGAATTTCAGTTTCCTGTTTGGCCAGCTTGGCAAGCTGCAGGTGACCATGCAGAGCTCATCAGCAGAGGTGACCATGCAGAGCTCATCAGCAGAGGTGACCATGATGGAGTCCCAGAATTGCAGAAGAGCTCCAGCATGGACCGAACGGGAGGTACGGGATCTGATCGCTGTATGGGGAGAGGAATCCGTGCTATCAGAACTACGTTCCAGTTTTCGAAATGCCAAAACATTTTTCAAAATCTCCCAGGGCATGAAGGACAGAGGCCATCACAGGGACCCGAAGCAGTGCCGCGTGAAACTTAAGGAGCTGAGGCAAGCCTACCAGAAAACCAGAGAGGCGAACGGCCGCTCCGGGTCAGAGCCCCAAACATGCTACTTCTATGATGAGCTGCATGCCATTCTAGGGGGTTCAACCACCACTACCCCAGCTGTGTTGTCTGACTCGTTCAATGGAGATGGAGGCAACACGGAAGCAGGTTTTGGGGATGAAGAAGATGATGATGATGAGGTTGTAGATAGCTTACAGCAAGCAAGCGGAGAAACCAGTTTTCCCGACAGCCAGGAACTGTTTCTCACCCTGGACCTGGAGCCAGTACCCGCCAAACCCACCCAAGGCTGCCTCCTGGACCTACCAGGCAGAGAAGGGACCTCTGGGAATTAAAATCAACAAAGGGGGTGGCTTTGCGAGAAACAGAATGGCCCCCTCAAGGATAGAACTCAAAACTGGGTTTAGCAGGCCGTTGATTTCACGGAGGGAGGGAGGAGAAAATGAATACAAAGCAAATCTGGTCTATTTCTTGTTTTGAGCCACTTCATCTCTCTTTATACATCTTGCTGGCAGCAGACTGTGCAGTACGACCGCTAGCCATCATCATCTCCTGGGTGCTCGGCAGAGGATGGTGCAGTATGACTGCTGGCCATCATCTACTGGCTGCTGATTAAAAGACAGTGCACTGCCGGTAGGACTGAATCGCCATGAAACGAAACTTAAAAGGGAAATGACCTGGCTGAGTCACTCCCATGTTTGCCTAGGCGCCCCTGACCGCATCGAGGTCGGTTAAAAGAGCACCCAGGACTACGTTGACGACGGCTATCAGTCATACTGCACTGTCTGCTGCCAAAAGGCAATAAACTGCTGCTGTGTAGCAATGCATTACCACATCTGCCAGCACCCAGGAGACATACGGTGACGGTTAGCTGAGCGGGCTCCATGCTTGCTGTGATCTGGCATCTGCACAGGTAACTCAAGAAAAAAGGCACAAAACGATTGTC